TCCAAAGTGCTGGGATTACAGGTGTGAGCCACCACACCCAGTCTCCAGTTGCTTTTTCTAGTTCTCTGTGTTTCATTGTCTTTGGGAAATTTCCAGGGGACCACTGACACTTGGGCCTTAGCTCATTTTCTTTCCAAAGGACCAGTCCTTTCTGACAGGCTCCACAGGCCTCTCGGCTTCCAGTGTGCCTTCCAGAACTCTTCCTTAGGGCCACTGAGAACCCTGTGCAAGCAGCTTCATAAGTCCATGGGTCAGCTCCCAAAGATGCTCAGGATTGAGCTGCTGGTGGGAGCTCTCACTAGCAAGGCCCCTGCATGCCCACCTCACTTGCCATTGGTGCCTGGCCCCCAAAAAGAGCAGGGGTGTGTAAATATGTGAAGAAGGCCAGGCAAGGTGGCTCACACCTGTAATTCCAGCACTTTGGGAGGTGGAAGTGGGCAGATCACTTGAGGTCAGGAGTTCCAGACCATCCTGGCCAACATGGTGAAACCCCGTTCCTACTAAAAATACAAAAATTAGCCGGGCATGGTGGTACATGCCTGTAGTTCTAGCTACTGGGAGGCTGAGGCACAAGAATTGCTTGAAACCGGGAGGCGGAGGTTGCAGTGAGCCAAGAACGTGCCACTGCACTCCAGTCTAGATGACAGAGCGAGTCTCTGTCTCAAATAAATAAATAAGCAAATAGTCCCCACCCCCTTTTCAACCATGGCTCTTCCAGGACTAGGCCAGGGATCATGCTGCCCCTGACTTCCCACCGGGAACTGAACTCCATCTATCCCAGAGGCCACACAGCAGCAGTCACAGCTCCTACCTTCTGGGCCTGCCCAGCCTCTCACCTGAGCCCCTCCTCATCCAGGTTCTAGATGCTCCCAGCTCCTGCCTGTCTCTTCCTCAACATCAAAAGCTGCTCAGGAAATAATTTTTTTTTTTAGAGACAGGGTCTTTCTCTGTCGCCCAGGTTGGAGAGCAGTGGTGTGAACATGCTCACTGCAGCCTCGAAATCCTGGGCTCAAGCAATCCTTTGCACCTCAGCCTCCCGTGTGGGAACTGCAGGTGTGTGCCACCATGCCCAGCTAATTTTTAAATTTTTTGTAGAGATGGGGGTCTCCCTGTGTTGCCTAGGTTGATCTCAAAATCCTGGGCTCAAGCGATCCTCCCACTTCAGCCTCCCAAAGTGTCAAGATTATAAGCATGAGCCACTGCGCCTGGTCTGGGATATAATTTTTTTTTTCTTTCTTTTTTCCTCCCACCAGAGAACAAAAGGGAAATAAATCTTAGTGGGGTTATTTTACATCTTAGTGTGAATGAGTTACTGAGTCCTCTCTGGAATTGGAATTTCCAGTATCTTCTCTAATTCTGGAATAACAGTCTTTGAACCAGGTGAAAGGAAATTCTATCATGTGATTGAGGACGGTATTAAGAGTGAAGGGGCTGTCCTAGGCCCCCGAAATCACACACTTGCCCTACTCTGCACTGAAACTAGTCCTGACTTCTCAAGGAATGGCTGTTTAACAAAAAACAAAAACAAAAGCCAACAAAACAGGCCGGGTGCAGTGGCTCACGCCTGTAATCCCAGCACTCTGGGAGGCTGAGGTGGGCGGATCACAAGGTCAGGAGATAGAGACCATTCTGACCAATATGGTGAAACCCCGTCTCTACTAAAAATACAAAAAATTAGCTGGGTGTGGTGGCGTGTACCTACAGTCCCAGCTTCTCAGGAGGCTGAGGTAGGGGAATTGCTTGAACCTGGGAAGCAGAGGTTGCAGTGAGCCGAGATCGCACCACTGCCCTCCAGCCTGGTGACAGAGCAAGACTCCATCTCAAAAAAATATATAAATTAAAAAAACAAAACAAAACAAAATGAACAAAACAAAATGAACAAAACAAAGACCAGGCCAGACAGAGAAGATAGGAGAGAAAAGTCCCACAATGAGAAACACAGCTTAAGGCAGGACAGGGAGAGGAGCAAAGGAGACACCAGGCCTTTTAGTTCCAGACACAGGAGGCTCAGTGGCATAGGCCAGGACACTGCCCCTCTTCCAAAGTCAAGAATCCCAGTCCCAGCTACAGCGTCAATGGAGGGAGAATTCCAGCTGAGGAATACCAGAAGTTCATGTCCTCAAGTGACTTACCCACCCTCCTTATGAAACGGAAGAATTTTTGTCCCTTTTGGAGGGAGAAGGGATATGCAAAGAAGAAAGGTCTTTACAAAAATATGAAGAAAACATTGTATTTCTTTTCAAACCAGGGGACTGATATGAAACTAGCAACAGGAATGCATGATTAAAGAAAAAAAAAAATGGTCTGGAATCCTAGCACTTTGGGGGGCTGAGGCAGGAGGATCACTTGAGCTCAGGAGTTCAAGGTAACATAGTGAGAGCCAGTCTCTACAAAAAAATTAGAAAGTAGCTGGGCGAGGTAGCACACACCTGTGGTCCCAGCTACTCAGGAGGCTGAGGTGGGAGGATTGCTTGAGCCCAGGAGTTTGAGGCTACAGTGAGCTATATGACACCCACTGCACTCCAGCCTGGGTAAGAGGAGAGACTGAGACCTTGTCTCTGGAAAAATAAATAAATAAAAAATAAATAAAGACAGGAGGAAGGAGGGGCCCTGCTTGAATCAGGTTGGGAGGTGGCTGGGAACAGGGCAGAGCAGCGCCTCCAGGAGTCGCAGTCAGGTCAGCATTAAACAGCACGGCAGTAGCTTCTCACTGAGAGGCCCCAAGCCAAATCTGAAGTGATCAACATTCACACGTGGCCAGAGGAGCACAGCAAGTCAGCGATATTCCTTCCCTTTCATCAAGGTTGTGCCTCAGAGACTTGTTTCCATGGATAAGTAGCCTCACTATATTTTAAGTAGTATTTAAAGACAAAAGTGTGATTTCTGCTCCCCAAATCCACTTGGGTAAAGTGAGGCAGGCTGGCCCACAGGTATGCAAACTCCCTGAGGCAACAGTTGTGGCTCTACAGGGTCTAACAGGGGAAATGCCAGAGGCCTGGCCAGCTGAGCTTCAGGAGGCGCCAGAGGCAGAGAATGGCAGAGGCCCAGCCGTCAAAGTGCAGACAGCCCAGGTGGCAGGTGCCAGTCCTGGGAGAACACGCAGCCATGAGCATGACTCTCCCTACACACAGGGAAGCAGGACACACGAAGCAGCCCTGGGCTGCCTTCCCAGCTGGTTGTCTTTCAAGAGGAGCTGACTCTGACAGCAGCACTAGGTGAACAGCAGAGGAGAGATGAAACAGTGAGCACTGCCTTCAGACACAGAGCCTCTCTCAACTTGAGAGAGCATAATCCTGGGGGTCCTGCTCCCAGAGGCTACGGAAGTCACAAGGCTGCTTGTGCAACAGCAGCCGTGTTCCTGGAACAGAGAACAGGCACTGTGGGCATGAGCACAGCTGGTCCTGGGCCTGTCACTAAGGAAGACAATGGGGCACACCAACCTTGGTGGCATCACAGCCACGTGGGCTTGGTGGAAAAGCTAATCTCAGAGCCCTCCTCCCAGAAGACACAGACCTTGAAGGCCTGGAGTGGGTCCTGGAAAGCCACGTTCTCACTTGCAACCCATTCCTCAGTCTGTGCTTTCCTCCTTTAGGACCAGCCAGGGAAGGCAGCTATGGTTCCCGCTTCTAAGTCAGGTAAAAGGCATGACAGCCACACTGTAGGTCCATTCTCTCCCCACTGGCAACATTCTCTTGTCACATCTATCAAAATTCTGTGGCAGGTGGAATGAGGATCATGCTTGAGTCTGGGGTCAAGTGGGCACAGGGTAGGTGCAGGGTCCTGGGAGGGTGATCAGCAGCTGCAGAGTAAGGAACAGTTCATGAGGACTGAAGGCCCCTTTCCGTGCACTCCAGGGACAGAAAAAGAACATGGGAGGGAGGGTGGAAGAGAGGACTGCCTTCTATGTGTGCTCCACCTGACCCCATGGGACCATCCATTTTTCTGAGCTGGCCTGACCTTGCCCTATGAAGGCATGACTGAGGCCACGCTTTTGGAGGTCCTCCAATTGCTCAGGACACCTTGCATTTAGCTGCTTTTCTCCCAATTAGTGCAAAGCGTTCTCTCTCTGAGTAGATAAAATCCTGCCAGGGTGACTGGGCTGGGGTCTTGGTGTACTGACAGGTCTTGATCCTTGGCCCCTGGGTACTGGCTCTGGGCAAGCAGATTTAAACATATGCATATTAATGCATGATAGGAGTTGCCCTTACTGGCCCTCTCTCTAGGTGTAGACACAGGAAGTTCGGGGCACTGAATGAGGGGATTATTAACATCCTAGTTATAGTTTGTGCATGAAGTTCTGAAGGATGATCATATCTAAAAGGAATTAATACAGTAATGAAAAAGAGATACATTAAACCCCAGAACACTGCTCATGATCTCACCGGCAGGGTGCAGGCTGCAGAACGCCTGGGCTCACAGTGTGGCCTGGAGCACCAGACCCCCGAGCCACCACCATCGCTCTGGGGCTGGAATTCATTTGTCTTGATCAGTGCTGAAAATAATGGGTCAGCAGGAGGGGCCTGACTCAGTAATACTCGTCATATAGAATTCATCCTGACTGTCTTATTCTGAAGATAAAAAAAAGTACATCTGTTACACCTTATCTGCCACCAGTGCAATTCCCACGTGAGAAGTTACAGAAAGCTGTAAAGCAGCATTCCCTTCAGAGACAAAGTGGCTCAACTGGATTACAGTTTTCTTCAAAGTCTGCCTCTTGCAGGTGGCCAGGTCAGGAGTCCCCAGCTAGCTTTCACCCACCCTTCAATCAACAAATCCTGAGAGCCCACTCTGGGTCAAGTATGTGCTGACCTGGGGCAGCGGGGAACAGTGTGATCACGACAGGCCAGATTCCCCCTAACTCACTCTGGGAAATGTGATCTGAAAACCTTCCTGGTTTCATTTCTTGAATTTCTCACTGAGTAGCATTTTTCCTTCTCTAAAAACCCAGACCACAGTGTTGACACAGAGAAAGCCACAACTCCAGGGCCACACCGTTTTCATCTGGTACATAACATCATCTCTGTTTCTCTTTTACAGAAGTTCCATATTCCTGTGAAGGGTAAAATGGCGGCATCTCTTTTTCTGGGCCAGATGATTATTAACAATTAACAAAGAAGACTTAGTTTGTTGGAGCATGCAACTCCAAAGGCCAATCACACTCAAAAGGAACGAGTACATTAGTGAAAGAGAAAATGCTGATCACTATAAAATGATGAAAAAAACTATATTATTTTTAAAGGGCTTTTTGGCCTTCACTTAAAAATGAAACTCCTCCTCCACATTTCAGATTCTGAATGAACACAAGTGTCTCACGTAGTGGCTCCCTCTGGTGCCTCACCTCCGGGGCTGCTGTCACTCCACGGCAGAGCCCTCAGAGGGGCTCTTACACAGGATATGTGTTCCGCCCCCGGAACTGCCCATAGCTGGTCCAGGTGCCTCAGGTGTCCAGGCTCCCCTGGAGTCAGGTTGTTTTGTCAGTGCGTCTGGGGACACCTAACTGAGTCCTGAGGAAATGGACCAGCTTGGTCTCCGTGAGGAATGCTGTCCCAAGCGTTGCTCCCAGACAGAAGGCCCCCAGGGCAATGTGTGCCAGTCTGGCTGGCCAGCCCTGCTCACAGCAGAGGAACACCTGGGTGAAGAAACCACTGTTGGTGCCCATTCCTCAGTCTGTGCCTCCCTCCTCTGGGACCAGCCAGGGAAGGCAGCTATGGTTCCAGCTTCTAAGTCAGATAAAAAGCATGACAGCCATACTGCAGGTCCATTCTCTCCCCACTGGCAACATTCTCTTGTCACATCTATCAAAAGATGCTACCCTAGAGGCCTGGGGAGGGGACAGGGGAGCCAAACACCTGTCCAGCTGGGTTCAGGCAGGGCGGGAAGGGGAGGCCTAGTGGGAGGGATGGCGGGACAGCTGCAGAAGCATGCGGCATGGTGGCTCAGGGAGTCTCACCTCCGAAACAGCAGTGACCCCACCGCTGAGGGCAAATGCCCCAAGCAGGACTGGTGACAGGCGCAGGCCAGCCAGGGGCCTGTGGGGGCTCCTTTGGTAGTAGCGGTGGATGAAGAAAAGGCTCTGTGTGATCCGGATGCCCATGTTAAAGCAGTTGGCCAAGATGAAGCCCACGCTGCCACACCAACGGGTCAGGAGATAGGATAACACCAGGAATGAGGAGGACAGGGCCAGCATCACAAAATTGTACCTGGGAGAAGGAGACAGGCAAAGCAGGGCAGTGGAGACCTCGCCCCAGACAAGGCCGCTACCAAAATGGCAGCCACAAACATCAGCTCACAGAAAGAATCTGAGTTCCCAGAATCCAGGGTTTCATAACATCGAATGCTACATGGAGACCATAGAAATGTCCCTGTCCCCTTACCCTGAACAGAGGGGTAAGAAACAACTCAAGAGTTGTATGTGTTTTGAAGATAATAATTGGTTAGTTAAGTGACACTTTGGGGTCAAAACACATGAAAACTCTGTTCAGCCCAGGTCCTCAATGCGATATACAAGAATGTGTCTGGATAATAATTATGTATTGGAAGCTAACTGTGTGACAGGCCCTGTGAGGAGGGCTGGGGACACACTGGTGAATGAACACACATGGCCCTTGGGAAATGCAGCACCCAGCAACCTTGGGCAGTAGACCCCATTCAAAGCAAATAACTGGCCTCCAAAACGAAATGGGAACTGAAGCCAAAGCCTGGTTCACCTCTGCTGTTTTCCAGACTCTGACATAGCCTCACTCCCACTCTATGTATCTCTAGAGCTCTGCGGACCCTGGTGCTGAATGGATTATACTACTACTTGCATTTCTCTGATTTCAAAGTGGAACATCACTTAGTTATCTTCAGTTATCCACAAAGAAAACAGATTCTCAGCAAACACAAAATAGCTACCATAGTCCTCCAAAATGCTTGTACAGCCAAGAACAGAATCCTCCAGCCTCTGGTTTCTGCCTCACACCAAGCAGGAACTCTTAAGTATATAGCCATTGAGGGAACAAAACTTTTGATGTCCTCAAGCCGTGTTTGCTGGGTTAGGAAACCTTAGAGGCCACCACCCAGGTTCTGTACATGAAGGGTGGAAGAAAGACACTGTGCACCTGTAATCCCAGTGCTTTGGGAGGCCGAGGTGGTGGGAGGATTGCCTGAGGCCCAGGAGTTTGAGATAAGCGTGGACAACATGGCTAGTGGACCCTTGTCTCTACAAAAACCATTAAAAATTACCCAGGGATGGTGGCACACACCTGCAGCTACTTGGGAGGCTGAAGTGGAAGGATCATTTGAGACTGAGAGTTTCAGATCAGCCTGGGTAACATTATGAGACCCTGTCTCTATAAAAAATTTAAAAATTAGCCGTGATGCATACCTGTCATCCCAGCTACTTGGGAGGCTGAGAGAAGAGGATGGCTTGAGCCCAGGAGTTCAAGGCTACAGTGAGCTATGATCATGTCACTATACCCTAGCCTGGGCAACAGAGCAACACCCTGTCTCAAAAAACAGTAATGACTTAAAACTGCATATGGCAGCCGGGTGCAGTGGCTCATGCCTGTAACCCCAGCACTTTGGGAGGCCAAGGCAGGCGGATCACGAGGTCAGGAGATTGAGACCAGCCTGGCTAACATGGTGAAACCCTGTCTCTACTAAAAATACAAAAAATTAGCTGGGGATGGTGGCATGCGCCTGTAGTCCCAGGTACTCAGGAGGCTGAGGCAGGAGAATCACTTGAATCCGGGAGGCGGCAGTTGCAGTGAGTTGAGATCGCACCACTGCACTCCAGTCTGAGCAAGACTCCATCTCAAAAAAAAAAAAAAAAAAAGCAAAAGCATATGGCTGGTCTCACTGCCAGAGCTCCTGATTCTGCAGGTGTGGGAAGAGGTCCCAGAACTTGGCCAGTACCCTAGAACTACGCTTGTAATCCCAGGGCACTGGAGGCTGAGGCACACACACACACACACAGAGTAATCCAACAGGATAGAGCTCCAGAGAGGCAGTTTATTTGTTTCTCAGTCCAGAGAGAGTCTCTTTTAATGAAGTAAAAGAGCCTGTACCTCCCAGGGGAAGTTTTCTCACTACTAAAGAGTGATCAGAATGGTCAACTTCAGAACAAGCCACTCAAGTGGGACCCATTATAGACCAGTACTTTGGCCTCTTTTCCACAAAGCAGCAGAGATATGTAACCTATTTTTCAGAAACCATCTCAGAAAGGTCTACTATACCAATCCTTGGAGTTTAAGTCATAGATTCATAAACTTTCAGCCATTCTTCCCCCAACGCCAAGTAAAATAACAATAGTGAATAAAACCAGTAGTTAATTCAGGCTAATTCAAGCAGAGACGCATTCAACAGCACAGCCTCTTTGGTATGGCCATGTGAGAGGAGCTGAGGATGAGGTCCATTGTCTGTCACTAGAAGAGAGCTCTGCAGCTGCTGAGCTTTCCATAATTCACAAATCTATAGCCTTAAAGGCATAATTCACTTCAGGAAAAAAAAGAGAATTTTAAAAATGCAATTAAAATATCACTTTTTAAATCAAAGCAAAATTATTAATAAGTGACAAAATGACTATTATATAAGATTTGGAGGCCGGGCGCGGTGGCTCAAGCCTGTAATCCCAGTACTTTGGGAGGCCGAGGCAGGTGGATCACGAGGTCAAGAGATCGAGACCATTCTGGTCAACATGGTGAAACCCCGTCTCTACTAAAAATACAAAAAATTAGCTGGGCATGGTGGCGTGTGCCTGTAATCCCAGCTACTCAGGAGGCTGAGGCAGGAGAATTGCCTGAACCCAGGAGGTGGAGGTTGCGGTGAGCCGAGATCGTGCCATTGCACTCCAGCCTGGGTAACAAGAGCGAAACTCTGTCTCAAAAAAAAAAAAAAAAAAAGATTTGGTTAACATAAACAGTAAATTATTTATGAATACTCATTTCTCCATGGTCCCAAGAAGATCCTGGACTTAACATCGGGCTTATTAAAAGATGGATTGGCCGGGCACAGTGGCTCATGCCTGTAATCCTAGCATTTGGGAAGCTAAGGTGGGTGCATTGCTTGAGCCCAGGAGTTGGAGACCAGCCTGGGCAACATGGTGCCCAGAGACTCCATTTCTACAAAAAACTACAAAAATTAGCTGGGCATGGAAGTACGCACCTGTATCCCAGCTGCTCAGGAGGCTAAGGTAGAAGGATCAATTAAGCCTAAGAGGTCAGGGCTGTAGTGAGCTATGATTGTACCACTGCACTTCAGCCTGGGAGACAGAGTGAGATCCTGTCTCAAAAAAAGAAAAAAAAAAAGGATGGATGGTCAAGGATATCAATTGTAGTACCACCTTAAGTAGACCCTAGCAGGTGCTAGTTGAATACATCAAGGCACAGCCATACAATGGAGGCTTCACAGCCAAGAAAAGGATGGCACGGATGTCTTAGGTGCCAAAGTGTGATGATCGTACCCATCCTTCATTTGACAGTTATGGAGTCTGTTTTGGCACTCAAAGCCCAACAAATCAGGCAAACGAGCTGTTAATCTGGGGCCTTTACACAACTGATCCCTCTGCCTAGAAGGCTCTGTCCCCATCTTAGACCATCTTCTTGGTCATCCTAAACGCCACTGTGCTATAGGGGCCTGCCCAGCATACGCAATCTAAAGGGCCCCTACCACTCACTATATACCCGTTTTCATTCTCAGCACATCACATTTTCTTATTAATTTACTTGTTTGCTATCCGTCTCCCCATCGTCAGCTCTAGGAGAGCAGGGATCCCATCCATCTTATTCACTGGTGTACTCCTAGAGCTTAAAACAAAGCCTATTAGAGAGCAGATGGTCAAAAGTATGTGTGAAATCAAAGAAAGAAAATTAGACAGCCTTAACAACAAAAATTCTTCAACAAGGCATAATAAAAAATCCATCAATCAGATTCTATATATATTATGAGGTTATTTAAAAAAGCAACCAGGCTGGGCATGGTGGCTCACGCCTATGACCAGTATCTTAGAACTACGCTTGTAATCCCAGGGCATTGGAGATGCACCCTACTTTGGGAGGTTGAGACAGGCAGATCACCTGAGGTCAGAAGTTCGAGACCAGCCTGGCCAACATGGTGAT